CAATAGAAGTCAGTGACTACAATGGAGTTAGTTGGCCACAAAAATCGTAGTTGGTGATTGTAATAGCATCTGGTTATAGGGGCCATAATCGAAAGTTGTAACAATAATAATCGGCCACAAAGGACTGGGTGTTGGACCCCTTCTATTATATTGAGGTTATAGTTTTACATTGGACACTGCATTGGTTGGTATACAACGTAAGGAAAATAGAGGTATTGGGAAAAACAAACATAATCTAGCTATGACGGTCGTAATTAATGATTGACGATAGTCGGCGGTCGGTGATGACAAGTAGTGTGGTTGGTCATGGTCGACGGCTACGGAGTCAAAAAGTTATCAATGAGTCTTCAATAAAATATTATATGTTACAACCATATTTAAGATATGATGTTAGTAAGCAGGGGTCATCGATACCAGGAGGTTCGTGGTAGTCGAATGTGACCGACGAGAAGTAATCAACAGTGGTTGGCGGCAACGAAGGTTGAAAATTATCGTCAAGTTTTCAATACTGTGTTGTATGCTACAACCATATTTGAGATATGACATTTACAAACAACGGTTTTCAACAGAAGGAGATTAATGGTGGTCAACCGTGGATGACAGGCGGTGGTTAGCATGGTTAACAGCTAAGGAGGCCGAAAATTATCATGAAGTCTTCAATACGACGTTATACGGTATGATATTAGCAAGTAGTGGTTGTCTATAGTGGTTAGATGGGGCGACCGATGATGGTTGACGGTGGTCGACGACTATGAAGACCATAAATTATCGTCAAGTCTTCAGTTTAGAATAGGCTCTGGAATTCCTTCTCTTCAAGGTCTATTTATAGGATATAGGAGGTCATTTTGATTCTTTGGCAAATAACTTCCGCAACAACCTGATCAGATGGCATATATTAATCTCTGATCATAGATGACTTTATGATTTGAGAACCTTATGACCTTGAATTTAAGCAAGCATATGCTAGTTAGATTCCCTTTGTCGAGATGCTTGATTTGAATATAAATATGTTAAATCTATTGTTCATTTAATCATTCAATTGATGATCCAATACCTCCAAAATTGTATTAGTGGCTTCATTTCGGCATGTTTGGACTCGAATTGAACCAAGTTTAGTATCATCAAATTCATCTTATCAAGACAATCAACTTGATTAAAATTGGTGAAATCGAGGTCCTGAATGATTTTTAATTTGAATTTGGAATGTTTATTACTCACAAAATGCATCAAGATTCAAGCTAGATGATAAAAATTTGTTGATGACTCATCAATACTCTTTGATATCCATCTTTAGAACCTTTTCTGATTTTTTTGTTTAACTTGGAAGAAATTCTCAGCCAAGCACAATTGTACTTATTTTTTAGATGTCTAACATAAATATTTATACTTACATTTATGGCACTTTGATGATATAAATCTATACAACATATATATATCTGTGTGTGCGCGCGCGTGCGCGTGCAGCAAGTAAGTCCTATCAGGTCATGGGTTCAATCTCCAGTGGCGCTGAGTTCTCGAATATTTAGGCACATGACTTGGGCTCTCATCATCGGGCCTAGCGCATGGGAATTTCCTTTCAACTAATATATATATATATATATATATATATATATAAAGAAGTAGATGATAATAGTATTTTTTGATTTGAGTGCTATGCATGCCAAAATGAAAGCACCAGTGTTTAGACATGTAACTACATGAGAATTGCGCTGCATGCATGTTCATGCCCCTATTTTTAATGTCACTGGTATCCAACTAAACATGTAATCTCTTAGAACAATATCTTCATTTGCTGAAGTTAATCTCCAAGTAATATTACTCTCTTAAAAATGCATCAGGAAACCTTATGAAAACAAATCTGAAAAATAGAGACCATATCAATAAGAGTTAAATGCAAGTAAAATTGAGAGAAGTAAAGATTTTAAAATTAAATTTTAATCAATAATATCATTAATTATTTCTATAGAAAAGCAGAAGTTCGGTCACAGATGTATCATGGATTCGTCAGAGGTACTTTCAAGCAAGTAACGTTTAAGAGCCACTTATCAGTCAAAGGCCCAAATTGACACGCTAATGAGTCGGTGATGCGTGGCGGCCGAGGTTACGGGATGTGCCTGCCCCAGCGACTTCTACGACCAAAAACAAAATCATCAGTTTCACTAAATCTTATATTATACTGCATATATATCACATTCAATCTTTGAACTCCAGCAGCTCAAAAAGAAATTAAAAAAGCTCGAACATTTATTGCGTAGACTTGTAAGCAATTATTTACTGATATATTTACATTTAGAGGAATCGCTTAGTAACTATTTCAAAGCAATAAATTATCAATAACAACAATAATAAGGAATATTTATATTCATGCTAACATTCATATTTGCGTATATAATACTCTAATCTTTAATATCATATCAAAAATATCACTATAATCAACTTTTTAAATTTGAAGTATGTCTTTTCATGAGCGGGTTCATGACACCAAAATATTATAAAAGTTAATGTGTTAATCAAAGATCCAGCACACACACACAGAAAAAGAGAAGCGGGAGGAAATAGCTCAATTTTTTTACGTGAAAAACCCTAGAAAGTTTAAAAATCATGGGTTCTGATCTATTTGAAATAATTCACTATGTAATTATAAGTACATATACTCGCTCTCACCTTTAATTTAAAAAGATGGAGTTACAATATTGATGCACAATGATAGTTCAGTAATAATAGTTGTAACAGACCGTGAAGATCATGGTTGATTACTAAGAAAGCAGTAATTCAAAGTGAATATTATAGATGGTGGCATGTAGCACTAGCTTGTCGTAGATGCCATCATTGAAAGTCATAGTAGTAGTTGGTAATGTAGGTCGTAAGCGGAAGCTTCAAGAAGGTCGATTGGCCACAATACCCAAGTAGGGAGTTGTCATTGTATTCGTAAGTCATAAAGACTATAGATAGGAGCTGCATGGACTGTGAGACACATATGTCGTAGTTGGTCACATAGGCCATAAGCGAGGAGCTACAATAAAGTTCATAGGTCACAGAGGCCGGAGTTAGGAGATGCATGGATTATGAGTCACGTGGGTCGTAGTTAGTCACATAGGTCATAATGGAGAGTTATCATAACATTTGTAAGCCGCAAAGACTGGAATTGAGAGTTGCATCAGTTGTGAGTTACATAGGTTGTAGTTGATCACTTAGATCGTAGTGGTGAGCTGTAATAACGTTCGTAACCCTCAGAGGCCGAAGTTGACAGGCGCATGAGTTGTGAGACAAGTTAATTGTAGTAGTGAACTATGATAACATTCGTAGGCCACAAAGTACAAAGTTGGAAATTGTATGAGCTATGGATCACTAAGCCATAATTTGCTACATATACCGTAGTACAAAGATGTGTGGTGAGAACTTTAAGAGTTCGTAAAAGGTCACCATATTTCGAGTACAACTATTGTAAACAGTTATTGTGAGGAGTTACACTGTACTCGGTGTGCGTTGTTGCACAGTATTCGAGGTGTTGTTACACCATATTTAGGGTACATCGTTACACCGTCTTCGGAGTGTGTTGTTATAATGTTTTTAGAGTGTATCGTTACACCGTCTTCAGGTTTGGTCGTTATACTCAGGGTGCGATGTTATGTCGTTTTTGGGGTGTATCGTTACACCATCTTCGAGATGTGTTACACCGTCTTCGAGGTACATCGTTACATAGTAGAATTCATCAATGTCAGCAAGCATGGAGCGACCAGCGGTGGTCGATGACATCCTATGAGTGGTGGTCTACCATTGTCGACCTCCACCTCCAGTCACATAAGCTATAATAGAAAGAAACAGTACGCCCTGAAGACGGTGTAACGAAGCACCCTGAATGCGGTGTAACGAAGCACCCTGAAGACGGTATAACAGTACATCTCAATGACAATGTAATGATGCAACCAGAATACGGCGTGGCGACACACATCAAGTACAGTGTAACTCCAGCAATAACTGCTTACAACCATCATGCTCAAAATACGGTGTCCTCCAAACTCCCAAAGTTCTCTCCTCGCAGCTCTCTGTTACAACCTATGTGACCAACTACAACCTACGTGGCTCACAGCCAGAGCAATTCCTAACTTCGGCTTTTCTGGCCTACAAATGCTATTATATCTCACCTCTACAGATTGTGTGACTAACTATGGTCTACATAGCGCACAACTCCCAACTCCGATCGCTACGGCCTACAAACGTTATTATAGCTCCCCACTATAGCCTATGTGACCAACCACGATCTAAGTAGCTTATAGCACATAGCTCCCATCTCTGACCTCTAAGGCCAAAGGATGTTAAAACAGCCCACCACTAAGACTTTGCGAACAACTACTACCAACATGGTTCATAGCTCATGCAACTCTCAACTACGACATCTAGACCAACAAACATTATTATGGCTCCTTGTTATGGCTCATGTGGTCAACTACTACCATGTCTTTCAACTACAACCTCTACATAAGCTGGAACTACAGCCACCAACTACAACATTTAAGAGGGACTATTGTCACCATATCAATCGACTATAACATTTGCGGCCTGTTACAACTATTATTGTTGAACTATCATTATACATCAACATCATAATTTCCTTTTCTCTAATTCAAGATGAGAGTGATTATATGTACTACAATTCCATAGTTGATTACTTCAACTGAGTCGGCCCCGTGATTTTTTTCTTTTTTAGGGTTTTTCATGTAAAAATCGTGCTATTTTTATTTTATCTGTGTTGAATCTTGTGCTACGCTAAGACACTAATTTATTACTCTACCAATGTGCATCTTCCAACATGCTTCAAATGCAAATATCAAAATTAGGTATTAGATATGTAAATACTAGGAATTGTGTGTATGTATGTAAGTTTCCTTAATAATAATAATGTAACTTTAGAACAAAGGAACAGTTACAAGATGGAGTAGCAGTCTGTAAAATCTAAAAGGCCCTCTTTAATAGCTGGCAATTTTATTCCTTTTTTTTTGACACCGAGAAAATAATGTCAACATTATATGATCAGTTTAATTTACAGATTTCCAAATACATAACAACTTTTAATTACATGAAATCAACTCATGAAATCTAAAATGTGTTTACCATCTATCAGCCGCTCAGAAGAAAATCATCATTAGCAGACTAAAGTGGGTAAATGTCTCACAAAGAAGATGGGAGATGACTCACGTGCTGAGAATAAAGCTTTCTAATATACTGATAAAGCTGTCCTTAGATTTTGCTGACAACTCTCTGAAGTGCTCTCTTGATAGTTCCTGGGGATGGTATAGCTCCGCTCATAAACTGCACCCAAACTTTAAAATTTTATCAGTATTCTCGTCAACAAAAAATAAAAGGGGTATTTACATACATACCACCCAATTCCTATGTATTTACATATATAACACCTAAACTTTATTTTTCATTTATACCACCCAAATCTCACTATTATTTTAACTACTAAAAAGTGAAATACACCATTTCATGCATTGATAATATGGCATATATGTAAAAATTTTAGTTTAAGTGTTAATATGTAAATATATAAGAATTGAGCGATACTGTATATCTTCCAAAATAAAAATTTGGAACCGGTTTGAATGTACCTTCGATCGCAATGTAATAGAAAGATTACCATCATCAATGGATGACTGCACAGACTGAGCATCTAAATGAAGGTTGTTCATGGCTTCAATTATATCAAGGAGCAATAAATCTCTCCACGGGCACTGCATCTCTATGAGCACTACTTTCTCAACCATGGTGATATTGATATCAACCAAACCATTCTTTGGTAAGAGACCAAGATTTTCATCTTTTGCCTCATCGAGTTCGCTGGCTTTTCTCTTATTTGATGAAGGTTTCTTGGGATTGACAAGGTCGTTGTTGCCATAATTATCTGACGTTCTTTCCGCAATATCTGGATACTTCCTTCTTGCTTTCATGTCAGGATCTGCTTCTTCTCTGCAGGATTCCAGCTCTTCAACTCTTCTCTCAAGCTCTTTAAGATACTCTATTGTGTCAGCAAGAATGGATGTTTTGTCGACCTGAATACATTTCATGAATTTCAAAATTATGAGAAAGAAAAAAATGATAAAAATAATTACAATAATAATAATACTAGAGGTAAACAAGAATAGATATGGAGTTTTAATAGGTGTGGGAGGGTGAAATCAACAGTTTTAAGGGTGGACTGTTACTCTGCAAGACCATGAAGTTCAGATATCATGCCATAAAATGAAAAATACCAGAGCTTGAAATAGTTTATTCTTTCAAAAGGAATCATTATACGATATTTTTATCTTTCTATACCACTTTTTAAATAATTTTGTCTTAGTACTGATCAATGCTTTAGTGAAAAGTTTATTTGCTCCTGATGACACACAACATATAAAATTCGGGTCTAAAAAAGGATAGCATATCACAGGAGTATAAACATATTTAGATTTTTAGAAATAAGATACAATTCCCATATGCCAAAGAAATTCCACAGAGACATTTTTTCAGTAAGAAAAGTGTCAAAATGGTCCTTTGATTCTTTATATGGGGTTATTTTAGTCCCAAAGTCTATAAAAATACTAATTTAGTCCCCTGACTCTTTTAACGGGGGCTAAATTAATCCTCCTTGAAAGTGTTTCAGTCCGTATTAAAAAGGTATAGGAACTAATTTGGTATTTTTATGGACTTTAGGACTAAAATAACCACCCCATGTAAAAAGACAGTGGACTATTTTGACAATCTACTCTTTTTTCAGTTCACAAGAAAATTTTCAAAGACAGATCACCACTAATATGCAGAAAAAATTCAGAAATGCTAAATCAAGTGCATCGACCTTGCTTATTGAAGGAACTAATGATCTCAGAACAAGGAACTTCTCATTCAGCTTTTCTCTCCTTCTCCTCTCTGATAAAACATGGTTTGAATTAGCATCATCTGCCTCTGCTTTCCAAGTTTTATTCTTCGCCACATTCTCATCTTGGAGTTTCACCAGATGATCTCCATTCATCCGTTTGCTGTCAATTAAAATACTCTTCAACATTCTCTGCGGTATATCGGCAAAAATTTTTGAAACCCTTGAACCTCTCTTCCAAATCTTAAAGCTAGACTTATTGAAACGATTTTCATAAGGAATGCCTGGCAATGATACTTGCTGTTTCAAGTTCCCAAGAATAGTAGAAAGAGTACGAGCATAATGAAAGCCATCACCTTCAGCACTAAAGGAACCAACTTTGGCATGATTATCCTCTTGAAGATTGTCAAAAATGTTGCCTTTAATTCTTTCACCTCTAGGAGAAGAAAGAATATTTTGAGCAAAAGACCATGATAAACATTCACCGGAGTTTAAAGAACAATGAGGGTCATTCTTAACCTCATCATCCATCAAGTTCCTTATATGAACATTCCATGGCTCATTTTGTCTCTTAATACTTGAATGGTCAGCACAAGTATTGGATCTACCTTCAGAACTGCAGGCGATTTTCTCACAGATACTTGAATGAAGCTCATAAACTATGTTGTGCATTAACCTGGACTGCTTGTTGGGAGCAAAGGAGTCAACATCAACCGGAAAAACATGGGAATCATTCTCTGTGATTAAAGGATGATTCTCCAACAGCATGGAGTTATCTACTCCATGATCCAGATTTGTGCACACAGTGTCCTCCTTTCTAACAAATGGAGGACTTGATGTGGATTGCTCAGAGGAAACTGGGTCTTGAAATTCCCAGAATGAATTCACTATGCGTTGCACAAAACCAGGATCTTCTAAAACCTTAGAAATATGCCCGGTTAAAAGAGTGAGGATGTAAAGAATAGTTATTTGCAAATTTTTAAATAAGAAGGGATTTACCAGCTCAGATGTTCCGAGCTCTAGTACTCCATCCATGAAGGGAAGACCCACAACTGTCTGCAATGTAAAGCACAAGAGATAGATACCATGAATGCAATAAAGACTGAAATGAGTCTGATATTAGATTGGTTGATGCAAATTCAAGAAAGTCGATTTTGTCAATATTCTAAGTGATGAAAGGATGCAGAAGGAAAAAGGTACTATGCAGAATCTGTTACTCATCACAATGTTTAAATTATCTGGGATGGCTCTCACCTAAAAACTCTTCCACCAAGCCCACTTTACCACTTCTTTTTAAAATAAATAAACTTATTCTTTCACTTTGTTTGCACTTTTGGTTGGAAATTTATTTGCAATATAAATATTTTAACATAAAAAATGTAGAGCAGGTCCAGACATGGTTGGATAGATACATGAACAGCGATTAAAAAATTCTCCTAATTTTCCACCTGTTCAAGGGTAAATCGTACCTGAATAGAAGCACTCTGAAGCAACATGAGTAATCAATCCAATTTAGCAACCAAATTTTTGCAATTGAAAAAAGTGAAATAATTAGCTATGTATGTAAAAGAAAATAGGGGGAAAAAAAAGGGTGATCAAGGTCTCCACAAGGATCTAACCTTTGCAAGAAGACAACGGGAGAAACATCGGTTCTCAGCAACTTGCACATTGCTCAACCAGACAGGCTCATTATGTTCATACACTTTTCCTGGCAAACTGGGCAACATTGAACAAGTGAAAGCTTACATTTTTTTCCAATGCTCTTCTATGAGAAGAATTCGCAGTTACATCCAAATTAAGATCATGATCTTATTAAAAAATCACTAAAATATGGAATGCATACTAAACTCCTAATAAAAAAGAAGCCAGTAATCAAAACGTTGATAAAATAAGTAAAATGGCTCAAGAGTGTTAAAGATTACATACTCTTGTCCCAAATTAAAGGTGAACGACATGCAGATCAAATAATACCACTCCGCCTCAGTCAAATCTTCAGGAGATAATGAGGCAGAAGGCCTTGTACTCTGCTCGTTACACTCAACTGTAGAAAGAGACTCATACAGCTCTCTCAGTTGTTCACTCCTCTGTAAACCCATTTGATCAGCTTTGCATTCAGTTGCTTGTGTGGTCTTCCGAGTTTTTATGTCACCATTGTAGAATCCATCATTCCACACTAACAACCTAGAAACCATAAAAAACAAACCATATTGTAGGCTGAAGAGCCAAATCCCAACAAGAAGATGTGAATTATAAACTTATAGAATAAAAAATGTATTTACAAAGTAAACCATTTAAAAATGACAATATTCCCTACAAAATGAAGTTGTACAAAGGATACTGCTGCATTGCCTCAATCCTTGCATCCTTAGGCATTTCTACAAGTCTAAACACTTTCCATACTCGAAATATGATTTACCATATTAAACAGCCAAAACATTATAATGATATGCCAAGTTTCAATTTCCAAATATGAACAAAATGACTTTAAATGTTCTTCCCGAATCAAAAAATAAATTTATAGAAGTTGTTAACATGAGATGCGAGACCATAAAAAGTATGATCGACAAGCCATAGGCATGACAAAATGGCTAAAATATTGAAATCAAGATGACAATATAAGAAAATGAGAGAAATGCTAAAATCTACATTGTAAAGGGTTTAAACATCCAAACTATTGACTATCCAATCTTAATAGGAACTTCATTGAATTAGAAACAACTTGTGCATGTCCCATCATGTTGATGCATTGGCCATGAAAAGTAAATAAAATAAAAATGTAAAATATGGTTTTCAACACTTTAGGCGGTTGTTGGGGTGTATCAAACGCACATCCATGTTCAAAATGGATATGAAAAACTTCCTAAATATGTATATTTCATATTATGCAGGGCCTCACTCACTTTAATCACAGTCAACTAGGATATGCATAACAAATCCCAATAACTCTTTAGCCCCAAAAGTTTAGCTCATAAGTTGAGAGCTATAAGCCAACAAATAATTTTTGTACTCAAAGGTGTCTCGTTGGTTTAATTGGTATGAAGTCAACAACTTAAGCATCAATAAAGATAGAGATGTGTGCCAGAAGATTCGTAGCGGTAGAATGGTTCTTTAACGTCTTAGTGTTGCACATAAATCTAGCACACACTCAGATAATAGAAAATTAAGCAGGATAAATCATCTAGACCTTTTTGAGTGAAAAAACCTGAAAAGAGAAAAAAACCACGGGGTTTAACCTAATTGAAATAATTCACTATATAATGGTGAGTAGACAACCCACTCATCTCCTAAGTTAGGAAAGATGAAATTATAAAGTTGATGTAAATAGGTATTTCAACAATAATAACACCCTCAATGGGCCACGAAGGTCGTAGTCTGTTATTATGGAGTCAATGGTGGTTGTAACGCCAACTTGTTATAAAAGTCATAATTTGAAGTCATGTTAGTAGTTGGTCATGTGGGTCATAGATGGTTGCTTCAGGAGCGTCAGTTGCCCACAGAGACATTGCAGGGAGTTGCATGAGCGTTGAGCTGCGTAGGATGTAGTTGGTTACATAACCCGTAATGGTGAGTTGTTATAATGTTCATAGGCCGCAAATGTCGGAATTGGGAGTTACAAGAGCTTTGAGCCGCATAGGCCTTAGTTGGTCACATATATTGTAACTGGGAGCTATAATAATGACCGTAGTTGACTACAGAAGCCGGAGTTATGAGTTATGTGAATTGTGAGCTACGTAAGTCATAAATGGTCACATAGAGTGTAGCAGGGAGCTGTAATAAAATATGTAAAGTGCAAGGGTCAAGAATGGGAGTTGCCTGAACTGTGAGTCGTGTAGGCATTAGTTGGTCAGATAGACCATTGCAAGAAACTGTAATAACATTCATAGGCCGCAAAGATCAGAGTTGGGAGTTGTATGAGTTGTGAGTTGCATAGGTCATAGTTGGTCATATAGGCCATATCGGGGAGCTGAAATAATGTTTGTAGGCCACAGAGGCATGGTTGGGAGCTGATGAGTTGCGGGTTGTGAGTTGTGAGTTGTGAGTCGTGTAAGTCGTAGTTAGTCACATGTGGTATAGTTGGGAGCTGTAAAAACATTCACAGACTGTAGGGGCTGGATTTGGGAACTGCATGAGTTGTGTAACGTCCATAGGCCAAAAATGTCAGAATTGAGAGTTTCATGAGCTATAATAATGTCTGTAAGCAGCAAAGGCTAAAGCGAAGAGTTGTGTGAACTTTGTGTCACGTAGGACGTAGGTGGTTACATAGGTCATAATGAGGAGTTGTAATAATGTCTATTAGCTGCATAGGTTATAATGAGAAGCTACTTGAGTTGTGAACTATGTAGACCATAGTTGTTCATATAGGTCGTAATGTTGCACTGCAATGAGAGAGCTTCATGAGTCTAAACAAAATCACGATAGTTGTAAGAAATTATTATGGTATGCATTGTTACACCATTTTCGATATGCGTCGTTGCACCATATGCAGGGTGCATCCTTGCATAGTATCTCCATATGGTTGTTATACCATCTTTAGGGTGCATCATTCCATAGAATGCTTCATTATCCATGATGTATGTCATGACTCAGTAAGGAGCTTCGTTGCAACGAGCAAGGGACAGTCGAAAATTGCCAACACTAACCAACGAGTAGTGGTTGATAGTGATCGACAATTGCGGCAGTGGAAGGCGTTAGTTGGGTCTTCGATGCAGAGCAGCATTGGAATTTAGCTCCTCGTGATCCAGCTCTCGCTTCAACTCTTCGTCCCTTTTCATGAATAGTGAGGCTCTATTTATAAAGTCTAGGAAAACCTCCCAGCAAATAAGAAAAGAATCCGAACTTCATCGGATGGTCCAAAGAGATCCTCTTGATCAAACAAAGTTTTGCGGACATTTGAGTGCATTAACGTGACAAAATTAAGTAATCTTAGGCTCGTTGTATTTAACTCATTGGGGGTATTCGATTTGACTATAAGCTTGTCAAATTTGAAATCAATTTGACCTTACAATTAGGCATCAAAAGTTTCCAAAAATAATTTAAAGGCTTGATTTGACTCAGATTGGGTCAATGTTGGTGTCATTGCATTTCTCTCTTCGAGTCGGCCAGTTTAACTATTAGTTTAATAAAGTCAGAGTTTTGAATGATTATTAATTAAAGTTTAAACATTCTTTGCTAAAAAAATTACCTCGAGATTTGTATCACGCCTCAATATTAGTCTCAGATGACGAAAATTTATTGATGGCGTATCAAATAGCATAAACAACTTAAACATCAAAGATGACACAAATTATTTAAAATCAAAACTTTTGGCTTTGACATCCTGTTAAAATTTGCAAAGCCCATCAAAAGGAAACAAAAAACGGAGTGCATTGGAGTTTAAATTTAAAGATTTTTGAATTCCAATTTAAGTTTTTAATATCAAATCAAAATTTTGTGCCAAACTAGGTTTTTTTTCCCCCCAACACTACTTCAGTTTGAACACTATACTTATTTGCATCACTTTAAAATGAAAGTGTTACAAGTTAACATAGATTGGATTGCAAGAAGAATATCTTGCTTTCCACAAGACCAATGACTAATGTTTCTTCTTTCATTATCAGATGAAGCTACATGTTTAACTTGACGCTTAACCCAACTTCAGTTAACAGTTATACCAAAGAACTGACACAGAGGTCAAAATCCTGAATATGAATTATTTTTATTCTAGTCATACAATTTCAGGACAAGATAAAGAAAGGAAATACATTCAATGATTATTTTCTTGAGACTCTGCAAAGGCAATTACAACACTGTTTTCATCCATTATATTAAAAATGGACAGCAAATGTTTTAACAAAGTTTAGTATCAATATCAATATATTGGTATTCTTACAAAAATATGTCATAAAATCATTCATTAAAGAAGTCGAATGATCATAGCATATCTCACTGAATCCAAAGCCTAACAGAGAGATTTGTTTATATAAATATGTCAATTTTTTTACACAAAAAACCTTAGCAGACTAAAAAAACAACCGTTAAAATCAGGCCTGCTACACAAAACACAACATATAAATACAATATCCTAGTATCTGGAGGAGTCAAACGGTCAGAAAGCCAAAAACAGATAGCACCGATTGTTAAAACAGAAGAAACTGCAGTTTTTCCATACCCTTCCTGACTGGCCGACAGAGACCAGAAGATGGCATAGCTCCACTGTATGCTCCTTACACAAGCAGCAAGCTGCTTCCTGAAGTGAATTCCCACCACCTCGTCTGGGCTCTGCATATCTACCACCTTTTCCTGAAGAAGAACGCAGCCCTCCCCACTGGAATAGAGTGCAGAAAACAAAAGAAACCCATCATAAGAACCAAAAGAACCATTATTTATAGTATAGACTGTCCGATCAAAGATGAAATATATGTTTAATAAAAAATCTAACTACTAACCATTCAAAACGCTCAACCTAACCAAATAGTGGTGCAGGTTGATAATCTGTAACATACTTATACCATAAAACAGAAAACCGAAAGCAGAGGCAGAAATCGAGACTCATATTTTTGGACTAATAAAAAGGTGAAAGAACCATGATTAGAAATATCTAAGTTTCATTATTACTACCACAACTGAGACTCAAAAAATCAGTTTTTTTTAAATCAATCATCACTACCATCTTCAAGGAAGCAAATCGAATTTCAAAGTTTTTAGTTCCCGGACAAAGCAACAAGTAAATGCTTCCCAACCTACAGTACATGAAGAGTTCTAGCCCTTCAACAGCATCCAGACCCAAGAAAAAAGAAAAAAAAAAGTAATCAACAAGCACTCAAACTCTTCTCTCTTCAATCCAAAAGATAAACTAATGGATACAAATTGAAATCGGAGGCTAACAAAAGACAATCCGTGACTCCTTAAGCCATTCTAACAAAACGATTCAACTTTTTCTGACTTAAGACTTCATTAAATCAAAAAAAAAAACTTCAAGTAAGTCAATCATTTGCTCCTAGTTCAAGAGGCGGACGGGAATGCAGCAAGCACACTCACGAACGGAAAGTAAATAGCTAATGTAAAACATTGTCGGAGAGAAATACCATGAACTCTCTCCGTCGCCCTCTCTTTCCTTTCCCTTCCCTCAGATTTCAATCCACAAATTAGAAGATCTGAGGGGATAAGCAAGTTCTTCTTCTTCAGAGACTTTTGACCTTGAGCCCTTATCAATGCTACCGTGGGACGTAATCCCCTCCGTTTAGAAAAAAATATTGCATTTTTTCAGCATTCTCAAAAATTTTACAGTGGGCCTTGCTCTAATAAAAAAAAATAAAAGGGAGATATCGCAAGTAAATTTATCGTACGTGATTAGGGGTGTAACGGCCGAGCTCAGCTCGTGTTTGGCTTGTTTATATTTCGAGTTCAAAAAGTATGTTTGTGTTCGGCTCGTTTGCTTAGCGAGCTGAACACGGCCGTTCACGAACAAAGAGTCGTTTTGCCAA